GCCGCACGCTGTTCACGAAAATCAGCCATTGCAAAAACGATGATCACACAAAACAGTTGTCACTATAAACTCTGCCGAAACTAGTCCTTACCTTCTGAAGCAACGGTAGTCGGCTTATCGACTCAGGAATGTTAGCTCTATGCGCTCATAGCGGCAAGACTACAAAAGCTCTGCCCACAAAAAAAAATTAGTTCGGTTTCTTTTGGGTACCCCATCGTATGCTACAAGCCGGAAGGTTGCGAGTTCAAGTCCCAATGAGGTCATTGGATTTTTTTCAGTTGACCTAATCCTTCCAGCTGCACTATGGCCCTGGGGTCAACTCAGCTTCTAACCTAACCAACTTTACTGCTATCTTTGAGCCAATTGTCTAGATAATGTGGGACCCTCAACGTCTCACAACCCTATGGGCCATCATGGCCTGTTACAGGGATAGCTTTACTTTTTTTTTTACTTCTGAATATAAATATTCAGCACACAAATGGCCTTCATAAATTACACAATCCACCACCACTGCACTGCATATGACATGTGGTCTAGTTATCCTGTTACAGTGTTACATAACACAGTCTTTCCACATAAACGGTTAGCAGTCCTCCTTCATGTCTGAGAGATCTTAAATTTAAATTTTGACTCAAGAGACTAGTTATCCTGATGAAGGTAATTTGTGGCTTTCCTCAGCCTGTCCAGATAAATGGTAGGATAGGCCATGGCTACTACCTTAGCCTTTCTAAATTTATCATTTATAGTAATCCCATTATCTGATGTTATGTAACAAGTACAGTGAAAAGGCAACATTAAGTAACCTGAGAGTCAGTTGATCCAGATACCAAGACACCCAGTGCCACAACAAATTTCAGACATAGAACAAAATTGTTGATCACATTTTATTATATTACAGTGAGAGATATATTAAGAGTGTCTGGCGGTCTTCTGGGGTAGGATAAAATTGTTCCTGTATCTAAGCACCACACCATAGAAACATGTAAGGTAATAGGGGCATAGTTTCACACATTCATAATTTTTTCACTGGATGCAGGTGAGTGGTCAACTTTATGCTCCAGCTCCCTACTCCAGGGTTAAGAGCCCCTGGTATTCATTTGATAGAAAGCTGAGTAGGTCCCATAGATGGTTTGGTTATGGTTATAAAGAGAGAGTCCCTGTTCCTGTTGGAATCAACCTACCAGGTTATGCACATTAAACTCTTTTTGTTTTCCATTTAAATGCTAGTTTGTGGTGCCCAGTATTTTCTGTATATTTAAATTTAAATGAGCTTTTACTTTGCAAGACATGAGTTTATACCTGGTGAAACAAAGAAACTTGGCTCGCATAGATGTTGTCACCCACACATGGAATGGTACTGGAACTGGTTTGGGAAGCTGTGGACACACAATATTCAGACAGTTAGTTCACCTTGTAGAATCTTCAGTGATCTGCACCACAAACTGATGTCACATTTGTCCTAAACATCTACAACTGAAAGAGGACACTGTGTCCAGAATATGGGGACACCTAGGGCTGTGTTTTGGAAGGACAGAGGAGGGGTATGTTATAGGTATATGTGTATTCTACATGGGGGAGGGAAACTCCAAGGAAGGTGGGAAAGCTGCGAAACCTCTGGTCACCAAGAACTATAAAACCCATATGGGTTATGTTGATTTGAATAATAAGATGATGAATGGTTACAGTATAAGCAAGAGAATGTTGAAATGGACAAGAAAACTCTTCTTACAGTTGTTAGATCTAACTATTCTGAATCCATACATTGTATACAAGCCATGTGGGGGAACATGACCCACCTGAAGGGAGCAGCTAGTTAGAGCTTTTGTTGTTCTGTCCCACAAAGAGATTACTGAAGTATGTGGTGTGCCAAGGGGTCAACCCAGCAATTCGAAGACTCATATATCATCATCATCATCATCATCATCAGTAATCTGTCAGACGACAGGTCCACAGTCTCTTCCAAAACAATTCCTCCACTTAATGCGATCTAGAGCTTTCTCCTTCAAATGACAGTATCCTCTTCTGTCCCCAAGGTCATCCAGCATCTTCTTACGTCTTCTTCCTCGTCTTCTTGTCACTTCTATCCGCCC